ACACACACACACACACACACACACACACACACACACACACACACACACACACACACACACACACGCACACACGAAACAGCCGGCAGAGTCTTGCTTTTTTTTTTTTGGTGGAGTTGTGTAAAGCGAACATGAGAACACACAGACACGTACACATAGGGCCTCAGTCCACTGCATAACATTCGAAATGTATCTGGAACTGGTAACGGTCCCAGTACATCCAAATATTCGGCCGGCTTGTATGTATCTGGTCCACTCTCGGTCCAGGTGCATGCAGAACTGGTAACTGGTAACACATAACGGCGACCTCCTGATGAGTCAACGAAACGGTTATTTTTCGGAGTTCAAAAAATAATAGCGAACATAATAACACACACACACACACACACACACAGAGGGCCTCAGTCCACTGTGTAACGTTCGAAATGTATCTGGAACCAAATATGGTCCAAGTTCATCCAAAATGCTCGATCGACGTGAATGTATCTGGTCCACTTTTGGTCCAGGTGCACGTCGAATGTTGAGCAGTGGAGCGAGGCCCATAGACTCCTGATGTAGGTATCCTTCCCATATAGAAATTTCGCAGACAAGTAATGTGTGTAAGGGCATGCTCGCACTGTGGCCTTTTTGGATGCATCTGGCCACAATTACGGTACAGTATGGATGTATCTGACCGTTTCAGATATCCCCAAGCATAGAGGGGAAATGGAAGGGCCCGTGAATGGAGGGCGGTGTTAGGGGGCAAATTTCTTTTGGAGGGGGGCGAGTGTTGGGGGGGCTTATGAAGTGAGAGTATTATGCCAGGCGGAAAGGTTGAGTCAGAGAATTAAGAGAGAGATTGGGAGAAAGAGAGGGGCAGGTCGTGAGACACAGGTATCGAGACGCACAGATCGAAACACACAAGCACACACTCCAATGCAGCAGTCGCTCATAGTGCAACGTTCCTTACACACACACACACACACACACACACACACACACACAGAGAGAGAGAGAGGTTCCTTGCCTGCCACATTCCTCTTCCTTCCGAGAACTGTATGTCCTACCTGCGAGTTTATCGTGTCGTCTACCCCGTCCACTGCCACTGTGCATGCTACACAGGTGTCTTACCTCTCCTCTCCTCTCCTCTCCTCTCCTCTCCTCTCCTCTCCTCTCTCTGCGTGACCCACTTTTACTTGCAGCTGCTTTTTAAGTTGAAACGGCTTATCCAAGTTATCCTCATTTTTATGTTTTTTTTTTTTCTTCTTCTTTTTCCAGAGGCGATGGCCTTTGAGATTCAGAGTTATCTATTTTTTCTTATCCGATTTCATTAGGAATTTAGGATTCGAACTCCGGTCTGTTTTAACTCCAGGTTTGAGATTTAACTCCGGTCTGTTTTCAGTCTCCTTCTCAACTTGCGCAGGTTTTTCTCCATTTGCTCATCTGATCATTGCTTTAAAAAAATATGAATATCTATATACATATAATGTCATATATAAAGCAAAAATAAAAAATAAAAGATCTGGCATCACCTCACCGCTCACCAAATGCGGAAAATGGGAATGAATCTTCCGCTAGAACATGGAAAGATACACTGCCATAGTTTTCGTCCTTTTCACATTTGGAAGGAGTTGTTCAGTTTCACTCCCACTGCACCACCACCACAGGAATTTGCATTTATTTAATTTCAATAAATTTTATGAATTTTAATTAGTTTATCAATTTCTGAGTCGTTTTGGGGGCAGGTTTTTTATTTCTGAATTAAATTTTGTAGTTTTTTTTATCTGGCGAAGACTCAAGATGATTACTTTTTTTTTTTTAAGTTTTAAAAGTTTTATTTTACCAATTTTTACGTTTTTTAACATTTTTGAACTTTTTTGTTGTCATAAAGTTCATAATGTATAAAAATGATTTATTTTTTTTTTTTTTTTTTTTTATCATGATGATGCCCAACAATGAAAGGATAAGGAAGGGATTTTTATTTTTTATTCAGCCAATTTGGCCCGCGTAACAATAGTGGTCGTGGGCCGCCATGGGAGAAAAGGTTTGTTTTTTCAACTTTTTTGAAGTTTTTTCCTTCCTTTCTGTTTTTGATTTTTTTTTCGTTTCTTTTTTTTTGAACCACGTCTGCCTCCGAGCCTATTTTTGCCAAGGCGGAGCACAACTGCGAGCCCAGTTTTTGCCGAAGTGCAAGTGCGACTTTTTTTTTTTTTTTTTTTTTTTTGGCTGGTGCTGCCAGCCATTTTGGTCTGGTGGCGCCCAGCGTCCGCCGGGCCTCCGAAGAATGTGTGCTATAGTTTTATATTTACGACTTATCTTCCCAGCCTAAAAGGTTTTTTTTTTTTTTTTTTTTTTTTTTTTTTTTTTTTTGTTCCCTTACAGCCTGAAAGGTCATGGTGGTTTAAGCTGATGTCTTTCTAATTTTGAAATAAATTAAATTATTAATTTAAAACCCCTGGCTAGTCTGATCTTCATCAGCACATTATGGATCGCCGCCTTGCCGCCCACCGCCATTCTACGTTTTTCAATCATCAGCAAGCATGCCAGAAGACCAACACTTTTTTTTTCTTTTTTTCTTTTTTTTAATTTTTCTGGAAAGGGCTATGGCCTCGAGATATTATCTTTGAACTGACCAGCCCCAGGCAATTCAGAATTTTGAATTCAGAAATTTTTAAGTTCAGAATGTTCATTGATCTTGGTCACATTGGGATTCGAACACAGGTCTGTAAAAAAAAAAAAAAAAAAAAAGATGGATGGATGTTCTTGGCGCTCGCGTGTAGAACAACCCCTAAAATTAATGAATCGCCCATGCTTGCAAATAGTCTGTGTCTTTTTTTTTGTTTCTGTTTTTGTTTCTGTTTTTTGTTTTGTTTTGTTTTTTTTGGAAGTTTGTCCTGTCTGTTGTACGCCCTTCAGTCACGGGGGGCGAGGTCACACTAGCAAAGAGGATTCCATTCAGCACCGGAATCTGGACGTGTTTTGGGCAGAGATGCAGGAAAGCATATTATATAATTATGTTATATTATACAGATATTAATTTTTAAAACAATAATAATCATCATAAGAAAGAAGAAGTGAATATTGTTTTGGTTCTGACATGGGAGTCCTTGCAGTATTGCAGGCAATCACCTTTTTTGTCTTTCTTTTTTTTTTTTTTTTCTTTCTTTCTTTCTTTCTTTTAAGGGAAACGGTCTTAAGATATCATGTTCAGAATTATAATATCATGTCCATCTGATTGTGCGTGGAATCTGGATCCGACCGACCTTGGGTCTGTATTTCAATTTTCAACAGTTCATGAGTGTACCAACTGAGCAAGGGAGCTTAGGCCCATTTTTTTTTTTTTTCCCTTTTTTTTCGGTTTTTTTTTTTTTTTTTTTTTTTTTTTTTTTTTTTTTTTTTTTTTTGGTTACTGCTGCTGCTGCTTCCTTTTTTTTTTTTTTTTTTTTTTTTATTTTCAATTTTTCCTTTTCTTTGTTTTCTATTTGAAATCCTCAATTGCCGGGATTTACCAGATTTGCTGTTGAGTCCAGCCCACTTAG